GTTTAACATCCCTGTCGGTAACTTGAACATAAGCTTTGGAAAACTGATGTCAGATGGAGGGGAGGAATTCTCATACTGACTTTCATAATCTGTGTGCTATAACAGTCTTCCTTCACACTATTTCAGCCAGCCGTGTATCTCAGAGTCAAGAACCGAGCCCAAGGTAAATATTTGACAGTTACTGGAAGCCTAGCAGATATAAGAGCAACATCAGTGTGCGCATCTCCATACAACGGCAAGAATACCCAGATCTGGCGCTACTGTGGTGGACTCTTGAAATCCAAGGTGAGTTTCCACACGCTGGAAGTGGGTTATGTTACCTGCTTTCCTTTCACCTTCACTTTTTGCCTTTTTACTGTAGGCTAGCCTCAGCACCACGGTAGCTTCTGGCACCTCCCATGCATTTTGAACTAACACCTCTTACAACCTAAATTATCTTATCGTTTAGAGACAGATTTAAACTGCCTACTTTGGCAAGCCTGGCATCTTTTTCATAGCTGTCTAATGAGACTAATGTTCCTGAAAGTAGGCACCTGTTTTGTCTTTATAAAGTCTTAAGAAAGTTGTTTTGTTTTGTTTTGTTTTGTTTTTTTTTTTTTTTTTTACAGAGTTTGGAATTTCTCTAAAAAGTAATGTGCTAAGACAGGCTGTATGTGATTTTGCATAATGTTGCCCTATTACATTCTGTTATTAATATGAAAAGTGATTACTTAACATAAGAAATAAGTAACAAACGCTACCACCTGGAACTGAGCAACTAGACTCTTGCTGCATAAGCTGTTCTAGTCTGCTCGCCAGGCTTATTACGGACCACAGCACAATTACTTTAATGTGTTGGGTGCCTGAAACGGAAACAAATCAGACCCAAAACAGGCTTTGTGGCCCTGATGTCATAGTTTCCTTCCTGTTTCTTAGGCTAATGATGCCTGTCTGGATGTCATTGGTGGTAGAGATGTGCCTGGGGCCAAAGTCGCACTCTGGGCAGAACATGGGAAGGACAGGCAAAAGTGGAGACTCAATGAGGATGGAACCATCAGTTCATACCTCAGCGACCAACTCGTGCTTGATATTAAAGGTATTTAAACTCACATGTTCTATATGCATTTTTTGATTGTCGTTAATTGCAGTCTTCCAGCTCTTTTGTACTTAAGATCAAATACTGAATCCTGTCTTTCCCGTTAGGTTTATGTTCAGTTGCTTGACAGTGGGTCAAGAGACAAGCGGGTAGAGGGGAGAACCTTACTCTGTGTAACTCATCCCAAAGGTTTATTTTGATAACCATTTTTACTTCAGGGAGTTCAGTAATGCTGACGACAAGAAATAGCAGATACAGAAGACAAAATGGTGAAAGGAAAAGCAACCAAGGAGTAAGTGTGGCTCAAAGAGAGAAGTGCTCACTCTCTAATGTTTTCAGGCTAGTTGAAATTCTGTGTGCTCAAGTCCTAGTCCTGCTTGCCTGTCTTGGGAGAGCCACCTCATTTCTAGCCTCTAGAACTAAGGAGTTAAACCACCATTACATATTCATCAGTAGTTAGTACCAAGCCATTAAATGCAAAGTGAAATCCCAACTGGTAATAGCAATGGCAAGTCTTAAAACATCAGAAAACTGCTGCCTAGTTTACTGCAAAATCTGATGCTTAAAGGCTGGAGTGGGAAGACACAACTTGATGATAAATTTTTAAGAGCTCTCATTGCTTCTGGTGGATTTTTCTTCAAGGTGTAATGGTGAAAATGCACTGTCCTTTCTATGCTACATGTATCCAAAGGAGAGAAAATTTATTTTAAGGATTTCACAAGTTTGCAGGTGAAACAGGTATCTTGTGCGCTATACCAAATAATCCCATGAATCTGTGTATGCCTCCTGTAGCAATATGTGCCTTAAAAATCCACACGCATAGCAGGAGGTCAGGATCTGCCAAAAGCAAAATCTCTTTAGTCAAGCTGCTTCTATGCAAAAAGGACATATGAGGACTCCACTTTGTGGTATGTTGCGCTACCTAACTAATGGAGGAATCTTGCATCTCTTTGGCTGTTGTAGATCATAGTCATCAGGGGCTAAGCTGACAAGTGACAGTTTGGAGACAAATGTACAGAGGGTGTGAGAGCAGACACTGGCCCCTCCCTGATGGAATTTCTAGTTTTCAGCTGATTTTCCTACTCAGTCACACTTTCAGATTATATATAGACTTTCCTGAGTGTTTCTTTTTAGACATTTTGCCTTCACAAGATTGTTTTATTTTAAGGAGGAAACTATTATGACAAGAATCACATCATTATGAATCAGCCCATAGAGGATGACCATTCACAAAAATGGGACATTGAAATACTGTGAGTAAAACCCACCACACAGATTTGGGAAGATGACCTTATGTGGGTTATTAACATTTGGAGAAAAAGAACTACTGAAGTCACTCACCACTGGAACCTTAAACAGCAAATGCTCTCTGCTCTTCTTCGTGCCAAGCACTGACTCCTAAAACAACTGAATTTTGCACAGATCTGGAGGAGGTGAAGTTGATCTAACGTCTTCCACAGGGACTGTACTCTGATCTGATTCTGTAGAGACCACTCCTATGAAATTCACTATTACTGCTCATCTGAAGTATTAAAAGTAAAAGCAAAAGACTAGACAGAAGCTTTGCAGGATGTGAACTGCAAGATAATATGGAAAAGGTTCTTTAGAAATGTTGTCTTTACTTTCCTCTCAAAAGCTGATGGAAACTCACTGAAGAATGAATGCACTATTGGGCTTGAAAGAGGTCGAGTTGGACTGTTTCATGTCCCAAGTGAAACTGTTTAGGCTCCAAGAGATCCTAAATCTCAGATTATTTCTCTTGCTGAAGTACAGTTTATTTTGTTCATGAGGACAATTTTGAACTGGAATGCACAGCTCTATGAGCAAAAAGGCACAGTATAAAAAAAAAGGATAACTTTTACCTCCCTACCATTACTAGTAGAATTGCCTTCATGTGTTTTAACAGTACCAAATTTCTAGATTCAGGAACTTATTTTGCTGACCCATGGGCTGTTTCCAACCCATGAAATGATGAGTTGTCTCTAAAGACGAGCTTTAACATACAGTCGTATGTGTGCATATCAAAAGAGGAAAAAAAAAAACTATCCTGGATCAGGCTACATTTCTATAAGGGCTAGCTGGATTTAGAGCCGTAATGATTTACTCTAGCTGTATGTTTTTTGATGTATATAAAATTAATTTAATGCAATCCTTCACAAAATAATTCACCATGGTATGTATTTTCAAAGGTGCTAACAGCCTGCATTCCACCACTTGCTTACTATCAAAGGTAACAATGTACAGCATCCTAACCTCACGCTCATCAGCAACATGTACATCTTAACCTTTGCATGAGGAGTTAGAGTAATGAAGATGAGATTGTGGTATGTTGGTGATTTCCTCACCTTCAATACTATAGCAACCATCCTACTAGCTAACCTTTGAGAGAGAGTAAAATATTTTATTGGACTTTAAATGTTGCAGGCTTAAAAAAGCCTGTTCCTCTCAACACTGACAAATACAGAAGGAACTGGAGAAAATCACTGGTATCTTCATTTGATTTCAGTGTCACTGATTTAGTCTACTTCATTGACTATGTAATAGTGTCTTTCCTTATCTGTATATTCAGGGTATGTATCTATCTCTATAATTATTTAAAAAGTTCAGAGTAGCTAAAGACAAAGATACTATTTTAGTTTCCAAAAGCTGTAACTATTCCCCTTGTGCATTCAGACAGGTTCATCCTTACAAAAATAAAATTAAAAAAAACACCTCACGTTTGCCATAAAAGTAAAACATATGGATGTCTATTTTTGTATGAAATAGAGTTCTATACTATTTAAAAAAAATTACTTACTTGCACTTACTATTTTGCATTCTGAAATTACTGATGTTAAGTAACATCTTCAAATGTATATATTTTTCCAAATAAAGCACCTGTTTAGCTCTTTATATGTAAGTCAGTATGCCAAGTGTTCTACATGTGATTTTTTTTTTGCTTTCCAGATGCAATTTTAAAAGCATGTGCAAAAGCTCCAGCTGCTTAAACCAAGATTAAATCTTATTTAGTGTCCGTGTTACATAATGACGTACAGCACTTTTTTTTTTTGTACTAAGAGATCTTGAATGTAAAGTGCTAAGCATGTATATTTTAATTGTATAAAATTTTTTAGGAAGAAGCTTTTGCTTGTTTTTTGTTTTAATAAACAAATGGGTGTAGCTTCAAGAATATTGTTTTAGGCAGATGTCAAGCATGTTCCCATACAAAATACTTTTTGCTTTCTTTCAAACAGACAAAAAAGGGGGATAGGTGTATTAAATGAATATTCAATGCTAACAGACGAGGATAGTCAACTCAGATGTTCAAGTATTAAAATAATTGCACTACTCCCATCAGAACATACGCCAATAAGCACTGAAGGTGCACACTCCTGTTACAGTTTCAATAACTTTCACATTTAAATTGGTATGGGGTGGGTTGGAGGTGAAATACTTTTGGCACTTTATTTTAATTCTCTCCCTTTTAACCAGAGCTGGCAGCACCAGAAAGGGATTTTCCCTGGGAAAAGTCTTATTGCTTCAGGTAAGAACATACACAGCCATTACAGAAATGCTAGTGTTTTCCTGGGGCAGAAAAACCACAACCAGTATGAGGACTCACTCATTTTGTTTAAGCCAGCAGGTGCAGGAAGGGGGGGAGGGGGAAGGCAAAAAACCCACCTCTTTTCCTGAAGTCCAGCAGCCTGCTCCTATATGCCTTTAGCTGACCATCCCCCCCAAAAAAAACTAGGTGCATATCCAAGGGAAAGGGGGAATACCTTGGCATTCGTGTTAACATGAGTGACTTTAGCTACAGCTGTGGCTCAGTGGACAATGTCATGTTTACCAAAAAATGGTATTTAGGATTTGCATACAAACAGTAGCCACAATTAAGAGCAGATAGTGATTAGTTCATCTTGGTGAGCTGGCTGAATAAAGAAAAAGCTGAGGTTGTTAACCCACTTTCAGAAAGACATGTTGATGACTGCTCTTTAGTTCCAGTTCACCTTTCAAGACTGCTGAAAAGCAGTAGTTTTTTTTTTTTTGGGGGGGGGGGGTGGTGGTCAAGCATATGTTTTAAGTGATTTCAAACAGCAGCTGAATTTCTAATAAGGATGATGGGGGAGTGGGCAACAAGATTTATCATCTATCTATCTAAAGTGTTTGGGTATAGTGAGGACAGTATTCTCATATAAAATCCCAAAGGACCCACTATATTTGATTTAGGCTGTCTTATCTGGGAAAGGAGAGGCCCCCCATACCTTGTATGGTGATAAACTTAGTTCTAAGAGTAGTAATAACCTGGCAATTAAAGTTGCATGAGCTCTGTTGCTGCTAACCTTGCTGAGTAGCTTACCTGTTCCAGACTCTCGTTTTCCTAAAGCACTAAGGAAAAAAAAAAAAAAAAAAGACCATTTAGCACTAGAAAGTAATAGCAAAGTATGCATTGCAATGCTTTGTTAGATACATAGCAGTACAAACTGAAGGTTGGATGGAAAAAAATTTAAAACAAACAAAAAAAAAAACTTTCTTGCAGGAGAATCTTAATGGCTGGGAAGGTTATGGCTAGGAGCAGCTAATTTACAAGTGCATCAAATAACTTCAATTAGACATTCAGTCCATAGTGACAAGGCAAGGTTTTCTTTCTCTTCATCTGATATAAGGTTCAGCTCTTTAACGCAAACAATAGCGTTGCTCCAAATTTGCTTCAGTGCATCCAAGTATGACAAAGGAAAACGCAGTCCATGAGTCTGAGGGAAAGAAAAATGAAAATAATAATTAAAAAAAAAAAAGCACACCACTTACTTTAACTGAATGCAAAGCTTCCCCTATTACATGATGGTATTAGGAAGTAGGTACTCATGAGCAAATACTTATGTGGTCCCTCTTGCCTTCATGCTGGGATTTCTGGACGCATCCTGTAAAAGATGGGAGTATCATCCTGCCAGCTTTTTTAATGGAACTACAGCTGACAGCTGTGTTTGCTGATCATCACACCATATGAGGCAGGGAGCCTAAAGTGTGTTTCTTCTTCTGTTTTCCAAATTAAAGGAGGAAATACCTTTTCAATTCACACATTTGCCTAACCCTACCTTTGGCCAGGGTTTTTTTTTTTTTTTTTTTTGGGGGGGGGAGAGAGAGGAAGGGTACGTGAGTTTCTCTCTACCTGGCACACACAACCTTGGGAAATAAATAGCATAAGAAAGCCTCAGACTAATTCTGTCACTGCAGCTGGAGACTTTAAGGGCAGGAAAGTATATTCTGGGATTTGCACATATTCTCACAGCTGCCAGTGCAAGACCTCATCTCCTGCCTTTCTCTACTGTGGCAGATCAACCAAGTCTAAAGAGACAAGTAAGAGAGCCAGGCAAAGCCTTGGCTGTAATTACTCAGACAAGAACAGGCACAATCTAATTCTATTTTGCCTCTAATGTGTATTTGTGAAAACCTGTACTCAAACGTTTCATGTTGCAGTCCTAAGATACAGCATCTTACTGTCACAAAGTGGAACAAACATCCCAAAGGGCACAGCTGCTCTTCAGGAGAGCTTCTGCTTCAAGCAAAAATATATTATACATATCCAGAATAAGACTAGAAAAGAACCATCTTCAGTCTCATTAACACTATCTTTACATTTCAATAAAAGAATTACTCCCTTATATTGCACTGTTTCAGTAGCTACAGACGCTAACGTTAGTCCAAAGTGGCATTAATGTGGAACGTACAGTGCAGTGAGTCTTATCATTACCAAACATGTGCTAATGTATAATTAGCCATAATAAAGGGTGTGCTAAAGGACAGAGCTTTTTTTTTTAAAAAAAAAAAAAAAAAAGGTTCTTGCATTCCAACAGCTTTGGTAACAAGGCTATAAATCAAGCCACGCCCAAGAAGTTTTGTTAACACCTAAAATGGTTAATTAAACATGAGATGATTACAGAGTTCTGGCATTAACAGCCTCCATGTTGCAGTTTCAGTTCACCCAGCTACTTCAGGGATGGGCAGAAATTCTTTGGGCTTGAGGGATACAGCAGAACCAGGGCCCATGGTACCATCTCAGCTAATGCAGCAACACACAAATGGATGATGGAGCTCTTTTTTGTTTGTGGGGTTTTTTTTTTTGGTTGGTTTTGTGTGCACAAATGAAATGGAGAACAAACCTGTGATGTGCCTTCGTCACTGGCAGCATCATCTTCAGCCCCCATCATGTGAGTTTCTCTCCTATTCTTTAAAGAGTGATACACATAAACCATCTCTCTGCGAATTTCATCCTATGAGAGAGCAAGAAGAAATTAGTTGTATAAGGTCCATACATCATTATGAAATCAATCATGCAAGCGACAATAATACCATCTGCTTAATTATGGAAGCCACTTAAGGATCAATTAAAGCAATTCACCTTCCTATTGGAGTGACAGATCAGCCTTCTACTACAGAAATTTGTGCCTCTGCAGAACGTTTAAAAAAAAAATCCCCAGCCTTTGATCTTCTGCCTTAATGCTGCCTCTGGTAGACTCACAAGATTGACGCTGTACTGTGGCACTTATTTTGTTTTATTAAATTATGCAATTTAAGGTGCACATCATAGAATAGCTTAATAGAGGAACAGGTATCACTCATTTTCTGTTATGCTACTGATCTATGTCATGAAAATCATGTGCCTACATCATTCCTTGGTCAAAGCTATGCAACCTAATTCAGAGTTCTGTGGGCTGGCCTCACTCAAAATTTGCAGACACAAGTCTTGCATACCTGCTGTCAGTGAGGGTTTAATCTGTCTGAAGGAACCACAGAACAACTGCAAAAAAACGTTTCCAAAATCCCACACATTCTCACAGTGATATGCACGCAATCAAAACTGAGAAGAAGAAAAAAAGGAATAATCTGAAAATTGATCTACAATCTTCTTACAGGCAAACATTTTATGTAAAAAAAAATTGCGGGTTTTTTTTTTTTTCCAAGATTGCCCATAGTTTGTTTGGTTTTTTTTCTTTTTTCAGGACTAAAAGGCACTTCTACAAAAGAAAAAAACCTAAATTCTAAAATTCTGGAGCTGTCACTCAAGCAGTCATTCTCCAATAACATTCTCAAATTCATAAGAACAAACCTGCATAGCTAAGACACAATCTGGACACAGTGTAATCCAGGCATCATCTACTTTGTGGAACCAATTTGTAGACACTGGCACCAGTTTAGACAAAGATAACTGGGGGGGGGGGCAGGATGTAGACAATGCAAATGCAGTCAGCAACAGCTGCAGCCAAGAGAATTCCCTCTCTTGAGTATTTTTTTTAAGAACCTGTTTATGCACTTGAAAACAAGGAATAAAAATAAATAAAACAGGTGTCAAGAGCTCTAGAGACCATTTAGTAGTTGTAATGATCTAGCCCATCTAATCCCTGATAAAAGCCAGGCAGCTACCATACAGAATCACAGAATAATTTCAGTTCTGTATATCTCCTCCAAAAGGCACAAACATGCTGTATTACAACAAACAGCCCCATGATCTCAGAGCAAATCCTAACGCGATGTGGGATCCAACTAAGGACACTGCAAGGCCATTTTAAGGCCAGCACAACAGAGCACTAACGCTCCACACTGTGCCAACACCAACTCCCCAAGCATATGGGAATGGCTTTGTTATACTTACAGCATTCTCTTGATCTGGCTCCACAGTAATTACAGCATGATCTCTAAATTGCAATTTGATTTTGCTATCCAATTTTGGCAATTTCCCACCTAAGGAAAACAACAAAAAAAACTCCATTAGAAAGGAAGGAAACCAGACAACTGGGGCAAATTGGCCCTGTTCTGCACCACCCACTCTCTTTATGCCTGGATTTTTGTTAGCCTACATTTCAGCATCCACACATTCTTAAACTCAGGGCGGGGGGGTAGTTATAACAACAAGCTGGGGCATAAGGACAATTTCTACCAGTTAAGCATCCTCAGTACACGCTAGTTTAATAAAACAGCCAAATTCAGTCTAGGATAACATTTATTTCAGTCTAAAAGCCCTGTCATCTCTTCCTCTAGACAGAAGGTATTAGTCAGTTGATGTGTGCAATTACACACATCATGCATAGCACGAAGCTGATGCTAGACTAGACTCTTTACATACCTTAAAATAATACAAAACAAAACAAAAAGTCATAAAATGCAGAGTTAGTAACAGCTCTACTGTCACATCAGCCAACTTAAAAATCTACCTGGCCTCAAAGAATCAGAGTCATTTCCCAAGCAAGGTGGCAACCGGTTCATAATGAAATCCTTCTTCATGTCAGCTGATCTCAGTTCTCTGGTGTTTTCCAGCCGGTCTGCAAGCATTCTCAAAATGCTACTCAGTTTTTTGGCCGGGTCAGCTATATCCACCTGCTAAATATTCACAAAGAGCAGTTCTCTCACATGAACCCAAGCTAAACAGAGTCCAGCACCGGTTTTCCCTTAGTCCCACCTACTTACCATAAGCAGTTGCCTTGGTATGCTTCTTCGCAGCGCCACATCTTCTTTTGCTGTGTCAAACACAAGGCCTGGAATTGCATCCAATAAGAAATCTCCCCAAGAGCTGTAGACCAGCAAGAAAAAAAGGATACATATTACCAAAACAGTTGTACTGAAATAAAACAGGAATACAGCTTCCCCTACCCACATCCTGCGCCATTACTACCTGGGAAAGCGTTAAGACTGACTTGGTGCGCCTTAACTGATGCCACAGGCTGGAAGCCTTAGTGCTCCAATGCCAGATCACTTCTGTTCCTTTGGCCCTTCCATTACTGCTCTGCAGTCTCATGCGATAGCTCGTTCTCAAACTCCAGCTGCATCCTCACTAGTTTTGCATCTGTGTCACTCCTACAGAGGGAAAGAACTGGCTTGAGAAGGGGCCAGTCTGTTCCGACTCATGTGCCTGCCATCTACCAGTGAGTTCAGATTAAAACTGACCTCAGGAAATGAGGAAATTGCTATCAGTCGGAGCCATTACTACCCAATCACATGCATTTGTGGCCTCACTGCACACAGTAAGTGTGTTGGGTGCCTGTGAGATATTTTATATTGAAGGAGAAAATGCATCCAGGCTTATTCCACCCAACATGGGATCAGTTCTTACGTTTGCTATAAACTTAACTATGACCTCAGGAACAAGACCCCTATATTATCTTGGGGGGAGGAGGGGAGCATTAATGATACCTGGATAGCTAACAAGCGCCATGTATGTGTTTGTTTTGTGTTTAAGCCCCATTTTTAGTCTGAATAGTTTCCACACAAACTGGCTCTTGCTCTCTGTGCTTCTCTTCCCCAACTGCAAAAAGAAATTAGCTGGGGAGGGAGGATTACTGTCTAGCCTGTGTCAACCTCTTCAAGAGCGTGCCTCTCACACAAGACATCGTACAGTGCATGTATGGTCCGTCTCCTTACACCTCTCCCTCACAGGCTCACGTTATGGGCAAATGACCAGGACAAGCATCCAGTATCCAAGGCAGACTCCCACAAAACTGGGTCAAACAGCAGGGCTGGGCCC